GCAGGGGGGGCTGCGGGCGGGGCGGACAGCCGCAGCTGGGGCGCGCACTCGGTCTGGCCGGGCCTCAGCATGGCTCAGCCACTGCTCAGGAAGACCTTCTCCCGCCTGCGGGGCCGGGAGAAACTTCCCCGGAAAAAGTCCGACGCAAAGGAGCGCGGTAAGTGCTAGGGGCTCCTGTCCAGAGGGAGAAGGAGCACCGCCCGGCCTGGGGTGCTCAGATCCCCGTGGGGGGCGTTAGAGCCTCGGGGGAGAACCCGGGAGGAGCCCCGCCGCCGGAAGGACCCAGTCCTGGCTAGGCAGAGGCTGCGAACCGTTATGTGCGGCTGGCTCAGGTTGCCAGCCCCGCGGGTTCCTTGAGAGGCCCGAGAGGGGGCCTCACTCCTGACAAGAGAAGGAGCTGCGACCGGGAGAGCTCCGAGGGTGGAGGGGAGGACCCACAGCGAGGCAGGGACACTGTGCCCTGTCAGGCCGCTGGGCCCTGAAGCATGGGGGTATGGGGGATGCACTCCTGCACAAGACAGAGGCAGCGCAAGGATTATTGATTTCCCCGACGCCCGTTCCATCATCGCAACGGGGGCTGCAGCTACACCTACATTGGGCAGCCCTACGAACCTGTCCCCTTTATACAGATGGGGAAACTGAGGCACATAGCTGTTGAGTAATTTTCCCAGGGTCGGTGAATTGACTAAACACCCCTGTGGAACGCTGAAGCAGGCAGGGTGCTGGAGGGTGGAAATAGGAGGTGCTAAGAATTCGCAGTCTATAGTCAGCAGGATAAGACCTTAGGGAAATGGTAGTTGTATGGGATGGGGGAGCCTGGGAAGGAACCAGTCAAAGGAGGAAGGCCAGATAACCAATTCAAAGGCCTGACCCCTCCTCCCTGCCCTTTCCCAGCCATTCCCAGGGTTCTCAGGGCCAGAGAAGAGACCCAGGTGCCTACATATAAACACACACAAGAAATCGACAGTGATGTCAGAAAGAGGATGGAGCAGGGGCAGGGAGGGGGTGGGTATGGGGTATTGACTGTAGAGATCTGGCCTGGAGTGAGGGGTGAGGTCCTTCGGGGAACGGTTTCAGGGAATAGTTTGCAATATGGGAGAAGGGGCTGCAGGAAGGGGGAGCCAGCATTCAGGGTTACCTTCCCTGCTATGCCTGCTCCTACCTCAGGAGCAGCGCAGTCCAGCAGCATCTGCTGGGGCCATGAGCTGAGCTGCAACTTGTCTAAAAGCATGTCTCACACTGAGCTCCCTCAAGCCTGGAGGGTGGCCATCACATCTCATTCTGTAGGACATGGAGCCTCAGGGAAGTGACTTGCTCAAGGCCACTTAGTGAGAAGGGACAGCCACAGAACTCCACACCAGGATTTAAAAGAGGTCTGGAAGAGGGAGAGGGAAGATGAGAACAAAGTTACTTGAGGCCCTAATGACACCTGACCTGGACCCTGGAGGCTGGAAAAGCCTGGTCTGCCTTATGCTGAGGGCTGGAGCAGGGGACCTCCAAGCTGGGGACTGAGGTGACTAGCAGAGACTGCCAGCATCACCAAAAACAGCAGGTCCCAGGGGGCAGTGACTTAAGCTTCAGGATTGGACAGGGCATCCCATCTGTCACATGGTGTGAGGTTTGAAGCCCCTTAGCACACTACAGGCTGGGGGTTGAGAGCTGGGTCTTACTCTCTTTGCCCTCCACCAGGCCACCCAGCCCAGCACCCAGAGCCCAGCACCCCAGAGCCAGAGCCTCAGGCCCTTGAAGGACGGCAGGCTGGAGCAGAGGGGCCTCCCAGTCCTGAAGCTCCTCGCAGCCCTGCTCGGGGTGCCTACCTGCAAAGCCTGGAATCCAGCAGCCGCCGATGGGTACTAGGTGGGGCCAAGCCACCAGAGGAGGTATCTTTGGGGCCTGGGACACCCAGCAGTGGCGAGCCTGCTGGTGAGATCTGGTACAACCCTATTCCTGAGGAAGACCCCAGACCACCAGCACCTGAGCCCGTCAGATCACAACCAGCCTTATCTGAGCCAGAAGGCCCAACCGTCCAAGGTAGGCACAAATGTCACTCTCACCTTCTCACAGGCGACCACAAGCCTCACACCCCTGACCCTGGTCCTTGAGGTCAGCTTTCCCCACAGGTACAGCCCCTGCCAGTCCTCCTGTAAAAACCTCCCGTACCAAGTCCCCGGGCCCTGCCAGGCGCCTGTCCATGAAGATGAAGAAGCTGCCTGAGCTGCGCCGCCGCCTGAGCCTGAGAGGTACCCGCACAGGCCGGGAGCGCGAGAGGACCGCCCCAGCAGGCTCTGTCATCAGCCGCTACCACCTGGACAGCAGCGTGGGGACTCCTGGGCAGGCATCAGTGGTTGGAGGCACCAGAAGTCCAAGGGCTGGGTACCTCAGTGATGGGGACTCCCCCGAGCGTCCCGGAGGACTCCCATCACCCACTGCCTTCCGGCCTTATGAGGTGGGCCCATCAGCCCGGGCGCCTCCAGCATCACTCTGGGGGCGCCTCAGTCTGCACCTGTATGGGCTTGGGGGTCTGCGGCCAGCTACGGGGGCCACTCCAAGAGATCTCTGCTGTCTGCTGCAAGTGGATGGGGTAGCCCGGGCCCGCACAGGGCCACTGCGAGCGGGACCAGACTTTCTGAGGCTGGACCACACCTTCCATCTGGAGTTAGAGGCTGCTCAGCTACTTCAGGCCCTGGTACTTGCATGGGACCCTGGTATGAGGCGGCATCGGCCCTGTGCCCAGGGCACTGTGCTACTGCCTACGGTCTTCCGAGGTAGGACATGGAATTTTTCAGAAAGGAGGAACAGGGTACAAGTCCCAGCTTCGGGCTTCCTCTTCTACCCTAGTGCCCAGGGGGCTGGGCTTCACGAGTGAGGGGTGGCCTTGATGAGGGGGTGCAGAACACAAGAATCATTGGTACAGACCTAGCTCAGGCCCCCTTGCATTCTCAGGGTGCCAGGCCCAGCAACTGGCTGTCCGTCTGGAACCCCAGGGGCTACTCTACGCCAAGCTAACACTGTCAGAGCGGCAGGAGGCCCCTGACACTGCAGAGCCCCGGGTCTTCGGGCTGCCCCTGCAGCTGCTGGTGGAGCGGGAGCAGTCCCCAGGACAGGTGCCTCTCATCATCCAAAAGTGTGTCCGGCAGATCGAGTGCCGAGGGCTGCGGGTGAGCCCTTGCCCTACCCTGCTACCTTAGACCCACTGCCCATTACCCCTCCACTAACCTGAGCTGCTCCTGGATCCAATACTCACCTAGGGGAACAAGAGGCCCTCCCCCACATACCATAGCACCCAAGCCAGAAGCCATGGGCCCTGGATCCATTTATAACAGGATCTCAGCCCTTCTGGAACTATCTCCTGAAGAAAGGAGAGGACTGGCAATTCACAAATGTCAGACTGCAGCTGGTTAGGGAGTTGAGGGAGGTAGCCCAGCATGATGGCACCCAGTATAATCACTAGAGAAACTAAGGCAGGGTAGAGAATGCAAGGCCAGCTGAGCTGCCTGGTAAGACCTTGTCTCAAAAAAGCTGAGGGGGGGTGGCAGGGGCTGAGAGAATGTAAAGCAGTCTGACTTAGTTGGGGTGGTCAGAGAAGGCTTCCTGGAGGAAGATATTACATGTGAACTGAGAAGTCAGAAGGGACCCTAGGCAAGTGGTACAAGCAGAAGTTTTAAGAAGGCCATTATCTTCTGGTATTTTGTTGTTTGGTGGTGATGGGGATTAGATTTAGGGCTTCTTACATGCTAGACAAACATGTTACCACTGAACTAAGCCCCCAGCCCTCTTTTTACTTTCAAAGACCCGAGTTTTGCCAAGTTGCCCAGGCTGGCCTTGAACTCACTCTGAAGCCTGTAGCCCGGGTGATCCTCCTGCCTTGGCTGCTCAAATGCTATACCACTGGGCCTGGCTTAGGGTCATATCTCTGACAGTCGTCACAGCAGCAGAAAGGCAGTCAATGAGGATGCATGCAATTGGGCCCCACCCTTCCATGGTACAGCACTCACTGCCACCCCAGCCCCAACCTCCAGTCCCACCAAAGTAGGCCTTGCTATATGACCCCAGGAAGCTATCCTGTCTCCACACCCAGGTGGTGGGGCTGTACCGTCTGTGTGGCTCAGCAGCAGTGAAGAAAGAACTGCGGGATGCCTTTGAGCAGGACAGTGCGGCCGTGTGCCTCTCTGAAGACATATACCCTGATGTCAACGTCATCACGGGTATGAACAGCATGGCCCCTTCTCCCTTGTCTGCTCAGTCCTTTCAGCCCTCACCTCCAGGCTGGCCTGGTGGCCCCAATGGAACCTCTTCCTCCAGTCTGATTTTGTCACTTTACACCTGTCCTTTTCCCATTACCACCACCACTAGCCCCAATGACCACTCTGGCTTCACAAACCCCAATGCCCTGACCAGAGGGCACCCTGTATCCACAGGCATCCTCAAAGATTATCTTCGGGAACTGCCCACTCCGCTCATCACCCAGCCCCTCTACCAAGTGGTGCTGGAGGCTATGGCCCAAGGGCACCCAAGCAGAGCTTCCCTGGGTCCTGAGGGTACCAGAGGGCTCCTCAGCTGCCTGCCAGATGTGGAAAGGGTGAGTTGGCCTAGTGTGAATACTGGGACATGAAGCAGATGATACCAGGGGTGATTCACCCATGCCTGAGCCTGTAGTTAACATACAGGATCATCACATCCCAATAAAGTACATGCTGTATGTCAGGTTCTGGGTTAGGAATGAAGGCTCAATTGAGTGATTTGCACAGTCACACTGCCAGGATGTGTCCAGAACACATACTCTAGCTAAGCAGTGTCACATGCCTGTCCAGCACTCGGAACTCCAAGGCACAGGGGGATTTCCATTTGAAGGTCAGCCTGGGCTATATAGCAAACAGCAGATAGATCTGCCAACCTACCACAGGAGAAATCCCTGACTGTGGGATATTGGACAAATCCTTTCCCTCTGTGCTTCAATATGTTCATCTATAAAAGTGAGATTTCATACTAACACTGCCTAACACAGAATGGGTTGGTATCCAAGGGCTTCCATTCCAAAGCTAAGCTTCCCTTGGCCTTAATCACCCCTTCAACAAAATGAGATCCTAATACTAACACCTACCTAGTGGTTAACAGCCTTAGCTCAGCTATGAGAACTTGAACCTGTTTCCCTAGTCTAAGCCACCCGTAAATGTCGTGCAAGTGCTACACGGATTCGGTTTTGCCTACCTCATGCCCACTCTTGCAACGCTTTCCGCAGGCCACACTGACACTTCTCTTGGACCACCTGCGCCTCGTCTCCTCCTTCCATGGTCATAACCGCATGACCCCACAGAACTTGGCCGTGTGCTTCGGACCCGTATTGCTGCCCGCAAGACAGGCACCTACACGGTCCCGCAGCACCCGTAGCTCTGGCCCAGGCGTCACCAGCGCAGTGGACTTCAAGCGCCACATCGAAGTCCTTCACTATCTGCTGCAGTCTTGGCCAGGTGAGTCCAGCCCACAGCCTGCACAGCCTGACAGCGTGCCTTCCCTACTGGCCAATCACAGACTGGGATTTAAGGAAGGCCACGCCCACCCAGGGTAACTGTAAATTTGCCTCTCCAAAGGCAGATGGGGATCTGGATGTCACCCTTCCCTCCACCCTCTGTACAGGACTTCACATAGCCACACATACACACCCCTTCTACCCAATCCTTTGCAGATACCCGCCATCCCCCAGAGGCTCCAGACATTCCACTATATTTGCGGCCCAAACGACAGCCGCTGCACTTGCCGCCAGCAGCCCCAGTAGTGACTAGACCCCGTGGCCACGGAGGTCCAGAAAGCCCCCCAAGCAACCGCTATGCTGGTGACTGGAGTGTGTGTGGGGGAGATTTACTGCCACGTGGGCGGGACTTCCTGTCTGGGCCTGACTATGACCAGGTGACTGGCAGTGACAGTGAAGATGAAGATGAGACCAGAGAGCCGAGTGGCACTGCTGACTTTGAAGATGAGTTTGATGCACCCTTCAACCCACACCTGAATCTCAAAGACTTTGACGCCCTCATCCTAGACCTGGAGAGAGAACTCTCCAAGCAAATCAATGTGTGCCTCTGAGCCCCCGACCCTGGCCCACAGGACCCTAGTTACTAAGGAATTGCTTCCTGGTCGCTAGGGACCAGGTTTTGGTTACCAGGGACAGGGTTCCTGATTACTAAGACAATGTCCCATGACCTAAGAGGGCTCAGGCCAAGCACCTGGTTGCTTGAGCTAAGAATCATTTCCAGTTTCTAGTACCCAATATTTGGGTATTAGTTGCAAGGGCCAGGCACTGGGGAGTTCAAAAGAGTAGCCATCAGGACCACCTCTCCTGCACACTGGGGCTCCTCTGTTCTGCTTGCCTCCCTTTTGCAAGGGAAATACCAATTACTGTGAGCATTACCTTGGGTTGTTGAGACGTCCTTAGTTAGTCCTCTTGCTGCTGTCAACCAAACCAGTATTAGCTTTGAGCACTACACTGTTTCTCCCTCCCTTGGAGGATCTAAAGACAATCATGAGGTTCTGTTGGAGGGAAAGAGCCCAAAAGTTGAGCTCTATTTGGGGATTACAGAAAAACAGCAAGCTTCCTCCACTCTTCCAGGGAAGACTCCATGATGAGCCTTCAACCAGCAAATGGAGACAGAATCTAACCCCTCCTTTCCCCAGCCAGTCCCTCCCCATCCCTGAAAAAACTGAGCACTTAAACACCTCTCTTTTGGAGGGACCCAGCCTGAGGTGCAAGGCTAGGGGCACTTTGGTACGGATATTTATTGCCTCCATGCATGTGTGTGTCTGTGTGTGAGGACTTGTGTGCACTGACCTGTCTGGAGTGGGCATGTGGGACTCTTTCAGGGACCACAGAGTGGGGTAGGACTTGCCATGTCCAGGCACCCCGGAATCCCCAGTGATCAGGTGGAAGAGCTGGGTCCCCTTCCTGTCTCCCACTTCTTCCCACCGCTTCTAGCTTTGTGGATAATAAACCAGTATACACATGTTCTGAGAGTCCGAGGGTCTTTGGGCCCACATAAGCCAGATGTGGTTTATTCAGTCTTACAAGAGGGGAGGAAAGGGACACCATTGAGCCTGGCCTACTCCCTAGGAATGGCCAAGTGCCTCCCTGAACTTTGGTTCCTCCTCCTCCCACTCAGGAAGAGTTGTAGAATTATTGGACCCCCTGAGACAAACCCAGAGTAGGAAAGGGTGAGGACTTCAGGTCAGCCAGACACACTGACCCACAAGACCCTATACAGAAATGGAGCCATCTCGGAAATCTGTCCTCCCAATCAGGATGTTGACCACAACTGGGTGGCCTTCTCGGCACAGCTGCTGGCCATCTCGCAACACCTGGACCACCTGATCCTCATTATCCCGTGAGAGCATCAAGCCCCTGGCCCCCAGGCCCATGGCTGCCTTGTGATAGTCTAAAAGAAAACACCAAGTCACACAGTAGCAGAGGGCCAGCCCAGGAGAGGAAAAAGCCCAGCTGGTCCTGAAATACCCTGATCCTCACCAGTATAAGCCAGACCACAGGCCACGTTGCTGCCCAACCTGGGCACCTGCTCCCGAGAAATCTGGGTCCAGCCTGCATCATTCCCTACCAAAGCCATCAGTGGTATCTGTAGAAAAGAGACATGGCCAAGCCACAGCCTTCAGGACAAGGCCTATGGCCCACTAGGAAGGCTCTCCCACTTCAGCCCACCCTGATGACACTGCCCAGAACCCTGGGCACTAAACTTTCCTCACTCATGGCAACCTAGTCACCTTGTGTCTGATGAACGTGTCAAACTCCATGAGGCTATAGCCAAAGGCTCCATCCCCAAACAGGCACCAGACCTGGTAGGGGGAATCCAGGGCAATTAGGGTGGTTCACAGCCCAGAAAGCAGCAAATCTCCCACATCCAGTGCCTCACCTCAGCATCCGGCTGGCACAGCTTGGCCCCAAGTGCAAACCCTGCACCAACTCCCAGAGTCCCAAAGGCCCCTAGAAAGACGAAGAGCAAATAGTTGTGAAGGGTCTAGGCAGTGCAAACTGCCCCAGGTGTGGACCTTTCCTTACCAGGATCAAGCCAGCGAAGGGGACCTCGGGGCTGTACCAGGTAGGCAGCAGTGGCTACGAAGTCCCCACCATCAACCACAAGAAGTGCATTGTCAGGCAGAGTTTCCTCTACCTGCTGCAACACCCACACTGGGTTCAGGTGTTGAGACACAGGCATCGAAGCCCTGTCCCTACAATAGGGCAGCAGAGGTTATCGGGGCTGACTGGGAACAGACCCCCATCTCCACTCTCTCCACCCTCTCCCCCACCATGTCCACTCCACCTAAACCAACCGAAAGGTCTGTTCCTTCTGCCAGTCAGCTTCCCTCAGCTCCTCAGCCCAGTCTGAGGCCCACGTGTGGCCCTGAAGGCTTTCTACCAGCTTCACCATGAAGGAGCCCACATCTCCTGAGGAAGAAAGCAGAGCCGTTGGTCCAGCTGCAGAGCAGGGCTTCCTCCTGCCCAACCAGTACTAGAGGCATAAACACAGCAAGAAGCCAAGAGCAGCATCCAAGCAGAAGGCATGGAAGCCAGCCCAAGGCTTTCTAGGGCAAAGTAGGTAAAACACCTCACAGAGCCTGTGAGAACCATTGAAGGAGGCCTGGTGAGATGAAGGGCAAGGTCTGGGAAATGAGATTTAGGGAGGTCACAAACCCAAGCCAGCCTTACCACCTCCTTACACCAAGTTTTGTCAGTTCTACCTCCAAAGCATCTCACCCACTGAAGCACATAGGAACTCACAGAGCACTGCATGAATGAGTGGCTGGTGGTGCACTTCTCACCACCCCTCTTAAGACATGAGCAGGCCCACATTTAGAGCTGTCACTTCTCACACCAGGTCATATCATTTCTGTTCTGGCCCTCTTTTTTTTTAGCACTAAGGAAAGAACCCAGGGTCTGGAACATCCAGGATAAACACTTCAGTGTCTAAAAAACTAGGTATTTATTTATTGTGTGCATGTGTATGTGTGTGGGCACACAAGCAATGTATGAAGTTTCAGTTCTCTCCTTCTACCATGTGGGTTCTGGAAATCAAACTCAGGTCATCTGGCTTGGCAGCAAGCACCTTTATCTTTTAAGCCATCCCTCCAGTCCTTTTTTGGTATTTTGTTGTTGCTGCCGTTTATTGGTTTTTGTTTTGGTTTGGTTTTGAGACAAGGTCTCACTACGAAGCTCTTGCTGGCCTGGAATTTGCTATGTACACCAGGCTGGCCTTGAACTCAGAGATAAGCCTGCCTCTGCCTCTTGAGTATTGTGATTAAAGTCACGCACTACCACACTAGCCCTTTTTTTGATGTTTCTGAAACAGGATCTCACACTGTAGCTAGCCTGGGCTGGCCTTAAATTCACTGTGCAACCCAGGATGGCTTCTAACTCAGAGGTCCTCCTGCTTCAATGCTGGGATTACAAGTATGCACCACCATGTACCTAACACTCCATCTCATTTTATTTTATTTTGAGACAGGGTTTTGCTGATTAAGTTACCCAGATGGCTTCAAACAGGCAGTCTTCCCACCTCTGCTCTCCTCTAACCCCCAAGTAGCTAGAATCACAGGCATGCAACATCTTCCTAGTTTACCCTAATTCTTTAATTGCCCTTCCCCACCTCAGCCTACCACCCACTGCTGGGGTGGACCTTCCCAAACATACACACAGTGGTACCGCTTCTCTGGTTAAATCAAAGGGATCCTGTTGCCTGCGCTACACGAAAGCAAATGTCTTAGAACCGTGGGCAGAACATGGCATGGAAAGGGAGAAAAAAAATAGAAATTAAACCCGGAACAGAGGTTCAGGGGCCATGGTTTGAGTGAGGCTGCACCCAGGAGTTGATCATCTGCACAATTCCAAGCCTCCTTCTGTACCCACCTACCCCGTTCCTATAGAAGCACCCATCAGTCTGCAAGTCAAATGTGTCTCAGATTGCCCAAGTGTCCCCTGGGGCAGGGTTTAGCCTCACCTGACACCCGCTTCAAGCTAGCTGCAGCAGAGGCAGGAGGAAAAGGACCCTGCATGTGATAGGGATGCTCACCCTGCACGGCCTCCTGGGGCTTCCAGAAGATGTCTGAGTTGAGCAACATATCGTCTCGGTTCCGATTGACAATGATGATTTTGCTCTTGCGGTTAAGAACACGACCATAAGAGAGGCGAAAGTCACATACAGCTCCTAGGTGACAGGCAGGTTGTCAAATGTGCACTCATTTCTGATCCACTGTGTCACACGTGGAAGTCAGAGGAAAACTTGCAGGAGTCAGTTCTTTCTTCCAATCATGTGAGTTCCAGTGATGGAAATCAGGTCATCAGGCTTGGCAGTAAAAGCCTTTACCCACTGAGCCATCTTACTAGCCTGACTTTCCAGCTCTGGACTCTGGACAAGCCTCTTTAATGGCTTTGACCAAGAGACCACGGCAGAGGCAATGTTGTGCCATTCCTAAGACCAGAGTTCAAGTGGCCTTTAGGACTGGGGTATATGTAGCTCAGTGGCAGAACACATGCCTGGCACATGCAAGGCCCTCTGTTCCAGCCCCAGCACAACAAAAAAGAAAAAGCAATAAGCATGTTTCCCTCTGCTACCATGTGACCTAACCAGGCTGGTCTACTGGGAGGTAAGGAGCTTGAGAACAGGCAGACTCAAGTTACCCGAGCAGAGACATATCTAGATCAGCCACAAAGCCTGACACACCCAAATAAATAGGGAGCCCCACGTGGACTAGCTTGGCTAGCTGCTGATCCACCCAGGCTCACAAATAAGCCCAACCAAACCCAGAGCTCCTGTCCTGCCGAACCTGCTGATGAGTCTTGAGCAATTGCGAACATGTTGTAAGCCACTGTATGTGAGCTATCATTACAGTCCTACAGACTAACAATGCTGCAGTTAGTGACAAATCACACGCATATGACCATGGTTCCACAAATGGCATGGTCTACCCGTTGTCACAGCCACCCAATGGCTTATGTACATACACTCAAAATCCACATTAGAAAGTCACTTAGCGCTGGTTCTCAGAATGCACTGTCGTTAAGCAATACACATCTGTGTAGAGCAAAACGGACACACCTGTTATACGTCTGGTAGATTACAGAGCACTGTGTGTGAAAATGTATGTAAGGCACGAGCACCATGAGGAGTGCACTCTCTGGGGGAAGCTAGGTCACAGCACTCTGCTACAGTCTGGGGTGCATTCACTGACTTGCAGACTCGGGCTTATTCAAAGGCCTGAAGGGAAGGAGTTGGAGGAAGGGGATGGGGTCAATGATCGTGTAGGGTGCTAGTGATGATAGTAGGGTGGGCACTGGAGGAAGGGAGGGAGAGGAAAATGCTGAGCCCACCTGCCAGGACAACAACATCTGCTTTCTTCAGGGCATCACTGCGGTTCTGCCGGATGTGGAGGGGATGGTTCCGGCCCAGTAGCCCCCGAGACATGCCCCCCAGGAAGCAGGGAACACCTAGGGTCTCTATGGCAGCTCTGGAGGTCCAGGCAAAGCAGAGTCAGTGTGGCCAGGGACCAGAACACCAGGAACCAGGACCACCTCACTAAAGTAGGGCGGGAGCTCCTCACCTAAGCTTGTCAGCAGGTATCGGGGGCAGCAGGGCCTGGCTCCCCAGCACCAGCAGGGGCCTCTTGGCCCGGCTCAGGATTTCCACACAGCACTGGATCTGGGGTGACAGGCAGGGATCAAAAGGCCATCTTGCAGGTCAGTAAGGTGGCTCAGTGGGTAACAGTACTTAACTGGCAAACCTAGTGATCCGAGTTCAGTCCCAGGAACCCACATAAAGACCAAAGGAGAGAACCAACTCCACAAAGTTGTCCTCTGATTTACACATGTGAACAGTGGTGTACACACACACACACACACACTAATAATAATTACTTTTTAAAGCAAGGTCCATTGTGGGGTCCCCAGTGGCCCCCAAGACTGAAGTCTCAGTGCTGGCCCAGGGAGAAGGTCTACAGGGCCCTGTCAGGTGGGGGAAAGGGGTCCTATACCAGGGAAAGGAGTGATTCACCTGCTGGGGAGACGCCTGAGGAATGTTCAGGGGCAGAGGCCCCTCAGGCTGAGGTTCCCAAGCCCCAACAAAGAGGTTGGTCAGGCAGTTCTTTAAGTACCTGTGAGGAGACCGAGAAGGAACCAAATCACCAAGGTTAATGACAAGATTTGGGGTACTGGGGAAAGCAAGGGGCCAGGAAAGAACCAGGAAGGATGAGCCATGACACAGGGACACTAAATAGCCAAGTCCCCAGCTGCTTGTTTGCCCTCAGAAACTTCAGGTGGTCAAAACCCCAATTTGATGAAGTTCCTCACAAACAAAAAACACAAGCACAGATGCCAGCATGAGAATTAAGGCTGCAGGTCAGACCCAACTCTGCCGCTTTCCGGCTGTGTGACTTGGGCAAGTGATTTCACCTTTCTGAGCTTCCTCCTCTGTAAAATGTAAAGGCTTTAACCATCCTCCCACTTAGGTTATAAGGCATTTTGCAGACTTGGGATGCAGCTTAGTGGCAAAGCCCTTTCTAGTGTGTGTGAGGCCCCAGCAACCCTGGGAGGGAGGGAAACAGTCTGTAAGGCGCTCAGTCTGTGGGAGTTAATGACACCGGCTCACTTCTTACAGTGCCTCTCTGTGTCTTTACTCACTGGGCCCCAGGCCTCAAGTTTTCTTAAGGCCCTGTAACACAAAAAGAAATTCTGCCAAGGCCTTGCCCTCAAGGAATAGTCAATCCCACTGAAGACAGTCGCATGGGTGTCAGCAGGAAGCAGTCAAAACTCAGAGCCAACACTTGTTTTGTCAGAGTCAAGGCTACAGAGTCAAGAGGAGGGCATGGGAAACCATGGGGAACCCACAGATCAAAGGGAAGACAACTTAGTACTAGACAGGCTGAGGCAGGACTGACGCCAATTTGAAGCCAGCCTGGGCTACAAAGCTTATTCCTGTCTCATAAAACCAAAATGAAAATTAAAATACATAAAGAGGAAGGGAAAAGGCAATCATGCAAGTAGCTCTGAGGAAAACAGGAGGCCAGGAGCATTACAAACAAGGCTAGAGAAAGGGGTAGCACCTGTAACCCCAACATTCAGAAGGTTGAGGGAGGAGGCTCTTCAAGTTCTAGGTCAAAATGGGTTACATAGCAAGGCCACAAAACAAAACTGTTCCTGCTTGAGCTGGCCCTCACAGCAAGTCTCACACACCAGAGCACAGGAACCTGAATATCTTGTCGATGAATGTCACCCTATGCATCTCCTGATATCTAGCAGAGAGCTGAGAGCTGGCTCACTAAGTATCTAGAAGGGGAGGGGCAAGGACAGGCAAAGGGGAAGTGGAAGGGAAGGAAACAGGAATGAGGAAGAGGCAATGTCAGAGGTAAAGAAGAGGGAGGGAGTATAGGAAAACTTCAAGCTCAGTGCCTGCCCCTCTCCTCTTTCTGATCATAGAGACCACACCTTGCTTTTGAAAACCTGCCAAGTCCCCTCCTGCCTCAGGATCATTACAGGTGTTGTCTCTGCCTGGAATGCTCTCCTACAGCTGGCTCCTCCCAGTTCATGTGTATTCAGTGAAAGTCAAAGAAGGATGGGTGCACATGGGGAGGAGATGCAGAAAAGGGCAGGGGATGGACAAGGTGTACCATGGGGATGGCAGTACTCACCAGACAACCACTTGACCCATGAAGCCCTTGGGCAATTTGGTTGGCACCATCTCCTTCTCAACCATGAAGTAGGGGTACAGTACATCAAGGGGCAGCTCAACAAACACTGGACCTGCAAGGATAGGGAGTCTGAACTGTGGCAACTGCCACAGACCCTACACTCCAGGGCCTGACTACTGTCCAACACCCTCACCCACCTACCTGGGGTGCCTGACTGGGCGACAGCTATTGCGGCCCTCAGCGTGGGCACAATGTCCCGTACCCTCCGAACAGAAGCACAGAACTTGCAGAGTGGCCGAAACAGGGACATCTGATCAATGGCCTGGAGTGCACCCCGTTTCTGGCAGAGAAGGGGTGAGACGGTTACCAGGTGAGCTTGCGGAGCCTCCCTGGGTATCCTGCCCACACATAAGAACTACACACCTGCAGCAGGGTGCTGGCAGCCCCACCCAGAAGCAGGACTGGGGACTGGGCCACCTGCGCATTCTTCACTGCAGTCACGGTGTTGGTGAGGCCAGGACCAGCAGTCACAGCTGCCACGCCCACTGTCCCTGAAACACAGAACCAGTGACAGATATGCCACCCTCTCAGCCATTGGTCTTATCCCCAATTCCCCTCCCCACCTCTCATTTACAAGCTGCACATGTCACTGTCCTGCTAGTCCTCAGACCTCTTGGAGCCACCCTTACCAGTCAGGCGGGCCACGGCATCAGCGGCAAAGACAGCAGTGACCTCATGGCGTGTGTCCACCACACGGATGCCTAGCTTCTCACAGGCCACTAGCAGTGGAGATATGTGCCCACCAACTAGTGTGAAGATGAAGCGCACACCATGGGCCCTCAGCACGGCAGCCACGTTCTCCCCACCGTGCCGGGTACTTGTCTTGTCCACCTGGGCCAGGGGAGGTGAGGAGCGAGACGGTCAGAGGCCAGCCCAAGAGCAACTATGAGAGCAGGCAGGGTCAGAGGACAGAGCTTAAGTTGCTGGTTCCAGACACTACACTATACCCAACACTCAGTGAATCTCCCACAGCTAAGGACATCAAGATTTGCCCAAGTGAAAGGGCCCAACAGAATCCACCCATGTTCTTTTTTAAGCTGTACTTGGGATTGAACCCAAGGCCTAGACCATGCAAGGCATGTACTCTGCAACTATATCCCCAGCCCTCTTTCTACTTTTTATTGAGGACAAGGTCTCACTAGGCTTCCCAGGCTGGGATTATGGGCCTGCAGGAGCAGGCTGGGCTAGAATCCATGTTTTGAAGCATCTCAGTAATAGACTACACTGCCTGTCCTGGGAATGGTGGGAGAAAGAAAGTATATATGTCTATAGAACACAGGGGAGCCTAGCAAGAGGCACAAGGCCCCTGGGCTTGGACTCGTGCCTGCTTTCTGGTACCCCTGCCAGGCCTGGCACCTGGACTGCTAACTCCAGCCTTCTGCCTCCCTCCCACTCTAAGCAGGCTCACATCCAGCTGACAAGCTTCCAGGAGCCACAGACGCATCTACTGTCACCAAATGCCCTGAGTATCCAAGGGCATCTGAGCCGCCTTGCAACCTCCAATCCACACACACCTCAAGGTCAGCGGCACTGAGGCCAGCTAGAAGAGGAAGGACAAGGGGGGTAGTAGGGGGAAGAATTTCTGACAGGAACAATGGTTTGGAGTGTGACTTGCAGCTCTTGTACGGGTCAGCTCTTCCCATACATGTCATCCAGGACAAATACCAAACTTCGCTGAGACTCAAGTTTCCTCTTGTTGATGTGAGGACAAAAATAACAGCACCTGATTCCAGGGAGGTGGTAGTATGTAAGAAAAGCCCTCTGAAGAGGTAGGCTCAGGAGAGCTTACTGTCATATTTCAGAGCCATCTCCTCTCCTGCCTCCTGTCCACTGATCTGTTAAAAAGACTAAGGGTCCTGGGTATGGAGGTAGGCAGAGTGTGTGCTGTCCAGAGCCATAGCTTCCCCATTATCTCTAAGGCCAGGGCCCATACAGTTTGGCAGAAGGGACAAATAAGGCCAGGGCCCATACAGTTTGGCAGAAGGGACAAAGCCCTGCAAAGAATCTTCCAACCAGTCACTCTGTAGGAATTCGCTTGCCCCACTAGTACAGTGAGTGAGCTGGGGTAGCATCTTCAGTCCCCCGCCCTCCCCACCTGTGCCCTAAGCACCTTGTGCATTAGCTGGTAGAAGAGCCCCAGTTTCTGAGCAGCGCCTAGCAGGATGGCCACCAGCGTCCCGCACGCCAGGAGCAGGAACGAGGGGAAGAAGCCCTCGGCAGACATGGCCGCGAGGGTCTCCATGACGCGGTACCTGAGGAAGAGCGCACAGAGCCAGAACCCAAGCAGAGGGATCCACCCGGAAGCAGGCACTCCCCGAGGGTCTCCATGACGCGGTACCTGAGGAAGAGCGCACAGAGCCAGAACCCAAGCAGAGGGATCCACCCGGAAGCAGGCACCCCCCCCCACCCAACCCCCAACCAGTCCGTTCATTAGCCACGCCCCGACCCTACCAGGCCACGCCCACAAGCCATAGCTCAGGCCAGAGGCCACCCCCCCTCGCGAGGAAAGCCCCGCCCCTTGACGTCACAATCAGGCTAACCCGGCCACTGAAGATCAAGGCATCTTAACGACAAAAAAACAGTTGTTTTCCATACTTACCTGTCTATCAGTGAATCAACCAGTGGGAAGCCCACCCTCCTCAGGCTCAGTCTGGCGGTGAGTCCGTCCCACTGACGTCACCAAGGCCCGAGGCCACACCCACGGGTAGCATGCGCGGCCCGGCCACGCCTCCCGCCTGTCTTGACCCCAGGCCTCGGGCGAGGTCACAGCGCCAGGATGCTCCTCTGACCCACTGGTCCCTGAGACCTTTACCTTCTCCAACGGAACGCAACCACTCTGTGTCACGTGACCCGCGTGCTAGATGGCACGGGTTCTTCCGCTTGGCCGGGTGACGCCCTGATGCGCGTGCGCAAAGTTGGAGTCAGGCTTCCTGTCATCCGTAAGAACCATGTCTCTATTGGCCAATTAGCGTTCAGGCCCCGCCTCTCCTCGCCTTTCATTGGCTGGCACTGCAGTTCGCCTTCCACACCCGCTAGGCCCACCCGGCTGCAGGTTTAACGGGTTGGACTTTGGCCCGCTTTCCCCTAGATTGCTTCATCCCGGATCTCACCCCAAGGGAGCCCACCCTTGCTCAATCACTAGGCTCTGCCCCCTCGCCAGGCCCCGCCCCCTTCTCGACCACTGTGTTTCTTTGGTGTTTAGAGTTGTAAAAGCATCCTGGTGTTTGGTGCCTGCCTCATTCCACCCCGTTCCAGAACTACAGATTCTGGGGGAAGCGAACTCCACATCAGTGAAGGCCTTGCACCAAATTCTCTTCTCCTATCCAACACATTTTATGTCGGCTTTTTCACCCTGGCATCCTTTCTTTGTCAACTTTATTTTTATTTAACTTTTTAAAAAATTTGTTCTTTGAGCCGGGCGTGCACACCTTTAATCCCAGAACTGGGAGGCAGAGGCAGGCGATCTCTGCGGGTTGGAGGCCAGCCTGGTCTACATAGCAAATTCCAAGCCAGCCACGGCCAAATAGAGACCCTGTCTCAAGAGAGAGAGAGAAAGAATGAATTTCCTACCTGATAGTGCCACCCCCCACCCTCTCTAAAATACCCCCAAACACCTTTTACCGTCCCTCCTCCCTACAAGCCCCCTTCCTCCATTCATGTCTTTTTGTTTTGTGATTGAGTTTACTCAGGGCCATCTGCGTGACCATGGGCTTTGGAGTTGGTGGGCTTATCAGTGGATTCTTAACTGGAGACAATGTCTGTGTTTCTCCCCAGAAACCATCAATAACCAATAGTTCATTGGAGTCGGGTAGGGACCTGTGAACCCTACCCTGATCAATGACTGATTGTTGACAGGCTGATCTTGTGCAGGCACAATGCAGGCGGCCACAGTTGCCATGAGATCATGATTACAATGTCCATGACTACCCACAAGGCAGCATTTTTAACCTCTCCTCCCTGTCTTCTGGCTCTTACATTCTTTTCACCCACTCTTCTGCAGTGTTCCCTGAACCTTGTAGGTGGTTGTGATGTTATGGGAAAAAAAGTCTTTGAACAGCTGAAAGACCAAGAATTAAATAGGAGAAAGTCAAAGCTCATTTATTCTTGTCTCGTGCATGAAGTCCTGGAATCAGCCGCTAAAGCTTTTAGATTTTCTGGGCCTCAAACCAAAGAATAGATGGATATTAAATAGGCACTTTAAAGCCGTTGTTTTATGGCTGGCACCTGGACCCTATGTCTCTTTTTACAATGGGCCATGTTATCTCAGGAAAGTACCTTCCTGAGTTCACCCGTTCATCATAGCTTACAAAGTAGATACCTTAGACAGGACAGGACATCTACCACCTTTTGATCTATAGATAATTGGACTAGGAATCACTCAAAAACGGGTATCTGTTTTATAAAAACAGATCACTGGCAGAAGTTTAGATAGTTGTTGCATTTAATCTACACTTTTCTTGAACTAATTGCACCAGGTGTCTCATTAAACCATTTGATGAACTTTCCATTTTCTTAGTTTTAATTCTTTATCAATAGACATAGTAAGTAGAAAGCAACTTCAAGATATTACAGAGTAATAAAACAGTTCAGGGAAGTAAAAACATCACAGAGCAATAAAAGGCATGCCGGGGTTATAGTTCAAGGTATCTACCTAGTAAGTGAAACAAAAGGAGACTTTTAAATGGCTCAAACTTACGTGGATATTTATAAGAATACAGTGAGCTATAAGAATATAATTCTTCCTTGTAAATACCCTGAGCACCTTATTTCAGCACCTTAAGCAGCCATGGTCTCTGTATTCAACATTGTTCATTGCAAAGAGAAGCATCTCTAAGGTTGAGAGTAGCACTCGGCTATGGGTATAAATATGGATGTCTGTCAACTTCTGAGGGTTCCCTCTGAGAGTCTTCCTGGTGGTTAATTCTGCCTTCTACTAAATTATTCATACAATTTAATATCACATTCCATTTTAAAAACTTCATTTCTGGGAGCTGGAAAGATGGCTTCAGTGGTCAAGAGCACTTAGTGCTGCATTTGTAGAGGACCCAGGTTAAGTTCCCAGCACCCACGTGGCAGCTAACAACTGTCTATATCTCCTGTTCCAGGGAACCTGATGCCCTCTTCTAGCCAACCCAGTCACCAGGCATGCACATGATACACATAAATACATGCAGGCAAACAGTCATAAACATAAAATAAAAATAAATCTTTAGAGAAAATAATAAGGCTTAGTTTCTGGAGCTGAGAGAGTAGTTCAGCAGCAGAGGACTTGCCTAGCATAGGCAAAGCCACGAGTTCCATTTCCCTTTCCGCCAAAATAAGAATCCTTGCATTTTTTGTAAAATTACCCTATGTGGTTGTTTTAATGAGAAATGTCCTCCACAACCTTACATATTTGGAGAGTTGTCCTGGATTATTCCAAGCATTTCCAGACTGGTCCCTCTCCTTGTCTCTCAATTCCACTCTCCTTCCAGGAGCAATGTTGGTGATCCACCCTTCTGGCCCTATTTAGTGAGAGCCCTTAATTAAAAGGATGAGCTGCACACTTCCTGGAATGGCTTTCTAGGTTCAGATACACTCCAGGAATTAATAAAGTAGTACCGGTTACTCTGTAGCCACTTAATACTGGCCACAGGCCCTCCCAGGCATAGTTCTCACATTAACTGGTTTAGTACAACAGTACTTCAAGGATCTCCTTCTTGGATTCTTGTCTCATTAGCAAAATAATTTAAAAGTGAACTTAGAAAGAAACTCAAGGACAATTTTATTACAAGTTTGAGAGAAAAACAACAGTACAGGCAAGCTGAAAATCCCCACAGGGGAGATGAAGAAAAAGTCATGTCTTTTAAGTTAGTCATGGAGGTCAGAGAAACCATGAGGAAACCCAGACTGTCAGATAAAGTGTGCTTGGGAGAACCAAGCCATGTATACCAGGGCAAAAGACTGCATCAGAGACAAGCAATAAAAAGTAGAAATAGAAGCCGGGCATGGTGGCACACGCCTTTAGTGCCAGCACTTGGGAGGCAGAGGCAAGAGGATCTCTGTGAGTTCTAGGCTAGTCTGGTCTACATAGTGAGTTCCAGACCAGCTGGGGCTACAGGGAAACCCTGTCTCAAAAAGACCAAAAAAAAAAAAGAGAGACACCTTATTAAGAAAGGAAACGTAGGGGCTGAAAAGATGTCTCAGTGGTTAAGAGCGCTAGCTGCTCTTGCAGAGGACCTGGGTTCAAATCCCAGTACCACCATGGTGGCTAATAACCATCCTTAACTCTAGTTCTAGGAGATCTGACACCCTCTTGTATCCACTGTGGGCATTACATGCATGTGGTGCACTTCACATGCATGCAGGCAAAACACGAACACATAAAAAAATTTTCTTTTTTAATCTTTTTAAGAAAGGAAAAGTACTCCCAAGACTGGAATTGGGCCAGTGAACTAAGGAAAGAATCCCCTTGATATTGGCTCAGGACACAAAGCCTTCTTTAGTGAATGTCCAGGGCTTAAGATTGCCTTCTCTGATCATGAGCTCAGTCAGGAGACTACCCTGTAACCTTTCAAGTCTTGGAGCAGCAGGCAGCAGCCGCCCACTAGGAGAGAGGGGCCTAGTGCCTCCTGCTTATCTGTGACTCTTTGATGAGCTCCAAGAGCACCTCATGCAACTCCATGAAGTTTCTATAGAAAACAAAGAAAGTCATAAATCAACATGCTTTCAAACACATTGGTGGGTGTATCACAGAGATGGGTTTCAGTAAAATAGGGGGAACTCTACTATAGGCCTCAGATGCTATCTGATGACGCTCTTAGCCCTTTGGTTTGTGGGAACTAGGAGTCTGAACATTCAAAAGTGATTTACCTAATGGTCACAAAGATGTTAGGTATACAGAGGAAGGAAATAATGGCTATTAAGGGGGGTAAAGATGCTCCAAGGTAATTTGACTCTGAATTTGCAACATTCCAAACTCTCCACATCACTGAGATTCTGATCAGTCAGGATTTGTGATCACAGCTTCTTTGTAGTTCTCATTCATAATCCAATGGCCAAGGGCACTGGTGACTACTCCAGTTCTCTCGTCCCTTGGATGGAGTCCCTGGCTGTGTTATACATCATTTTCAGACTTTCCTGGCAGAATTAGGCCCTGGTTTCCTGCAATGGTAACTCATTTGATATCTTTCAGGATTTAAGTCTGAAAAGTCCCCCAGAGAACCATGCCCTTGTTCCTTAGCTGAAAGAGCTACCTGGAGTGACTGTTCAGCCTCTGGGAGGTAGAAGCCTTGCAGGTGGAAGTTAGTCCCAGGGAGTCACTAGAGGGTCACTAGGGGAGGGCTTTTGAAGGCTGTACATTGAATCCTGGTTCCTATCTGCTCTCTGCTTACTGGCCTGCAGTCATGTGAACAGTCTCTACCACCATGGTATTCACAGTGCCTTCCCTGCGCTAATGGACTAAAACCCTCTGAAACTCTGAGCCAAAATAAATCTTCCACCCCACAAGTTGTTTCTGTTGGATACTTTGTCACAGTGATGTAAAAGTTCAACAGTACCACATCTTTAATTGGCCACCTTCCTTCCTAATATTTCCCCAATCCACTACTAGTTTACTTGAATCATCTATCCAACATTTTTAAAGCTATCAAGCACAAGCCCCCATCCACCATTTTGTTACAGTAATCTTAGAGGATATCAGGGCTCTGTTGAGGCCCATTAAAGGGAAGCTATTTCCTCCTGGTCAAAAGAATAACATCTGCCTCTAGCCCTGGGTGGAGACATGGCATTCCATTGTCTCCTCCCTTAAAAGTTAATCCAGCTGGGCCTGTCAATCACCTGGCCAAGAGACCACCACTCAGGAAGGCTATCACCCTAAGGAGATGGGAG